AAAAAACATAATAATTTTGCTGGCTTAGAAGCATTAACCATAAGTTCATCATTTTTATCCTCTTTTGATTAATTCAATTTTGTGCTTATTTAAATTGATCCAATATATTTTTCACAAACCCAAACAAGATAATTACCAGATAAAGTTAATGCCAATGGTATATTATTTCCTGTAATTTAACATTTTTAAACTATATTAATTATGCCTAAAATAAGAAATATAAAATACCATCCTTAATGTGAAAAATAGGAATTTAGGCCAGGTTCTTACTTAATCCTGCAAAATATTCTGATGAAATTAATTGTAAATTATCGATTTAAGAATCATATTGATATTTAGCCCTAAAATTAGCTTAGAATATTACGATTATTCATATACTAATTATTTTCCATAAATCATAAAGTTTTCATGAGATGAAATAATCTATTTATTTTCATCATCATAAATCAAATCAATAACTGATCTATCCACATCTTTATATTTTTTAATTACACAAGGTGGTTAAGTATCAAATGCTAAAATCATAATTTCTCCATTTTAAGACCCCAAAATACATAAATCTTTTCTCATATATTTCATTACCTAATGTAATTAAAATATAAAATTACAGTTATCTTATCATATTAAAAATGTGTAATTTTTTCAGTATAAAATGTTTTGCTTTTCAAATTTACTCCAAAAATCTCTCCTTATTATGTAATCCCTACACAAATATTTAATGTCTGTATATATGATAAAAAAGAGACATCTGCATTAAGATTATTTAATACTTTAAGTATATATGCATTCTGATACTCCTTGTAAGGAAATTATTCTTATTCCTTCATTTGAATAAGCTAATATTTAACTACCTGCAGAAATGATCTTTTTATGATTTGATATATCATTAAGTGTTCCTAAATATCTTAAAGTTGTGTTTGAATTAGAATAAAATTTTATAGCTTTAGCTTATTAATCATTAATTGAAGTTGGATGAACTAATTGATCCTTTTCACTAGAATAAATAGATTATTTACTCATCCTCATAATCTGGGTTCAATGCTTTTAAAGCTTTTAGCCATGTAAATCTGTTTCTTTCACTGAACTCTGTCATACCTTAGATACAAGCCTTTATTTAAGGATTTTTAATATTGCTAATATGAAATTGTAATTTCTTCCAACCTTAACAATCTTTTTTCTTTAATGGATCATCACTAGTATCAATAGCATTTCCAGTTTTCTCTTCATATATAATTGGATCATTCAATTTCTAAAGATCCTTATCACTTAGAAGTAAAATCATTTGAAGAAATGTAATTCCTAATGAAAATACATCACTTTTCTCTAAATCATGTCTAAATTTAGGTTTATAATTTACTTTACTTTTCCTGGCTAATTAGTTGTATAAGCAAAATATAGTTTAGGAGAGAGAAATAATGGTGTTCCTACTAATGTATTAAGCATTGTTTAACCATTAAAGTTCTCTTTTCCTGCTCCAAAATCTGCTAATTTAATTGTAAATGGTTGTCTACAAGTAACTAATATATTTTCTGGTTTAATATCTCTGTGAAACAAATGTTTATTTTTTGCTAGATAATAAAATGCTTTCAAACATTAAATCATAATGTCTATTAGCATAATATCTAATAATGTTATATGTTTAATATTACCTCCAAATTCTTATTAAGCTTTTCTTCTTTCTTCAATATCAGCTTTTAAACTATTATGTGCTAATTCCATAGCAAAAACTAAAATATATTTCTTATCCTCTATCCATGAATAAACTTTATAAACTTTTATTACGCTTTAATGATAAGTGATCACTTGATATAAGTTCAATTCTTAAATTGCAAGCTCATAAGCCTATTCGCTTAAGTTAAAATAATTTTATACGAAATTGTTTCAATTATTTTTAGGGCATAATTTCCAGGAGGAAGAGATTTTAGAGCTTTTGCTCTGTAAACTTTTCCAAATGTTCCTTATCCTAACAATTATGAATTTTTAAAATCGAAGTCTTCTTAAAATTCAATTTATGTTGGAAACTATTGCATAAATATAAATTGTATTAATGTTTATTAATATAAAATTAAATTAATCTAACTAAATTTACTGCTGTTTACTTATACAATTAGATACTGGATATTCATTACTGAAATAACTAAATAGCAAATTGTATTTTTTATATCAAAATAAATATATTTCATCATAATAATTGAAAAATTAATAAATAATAATGAAAAACATCTGATTAAATGTGATTATCTGAAATTTGAATCATCATTTATTTTTAATACTTTTGATAAAAACCTTATTTCATTTAAAAAATTTTAATATTCTTAAAATACATTTTATTAATAATAATATAGTAGTTCAATTCTATATTGTATAATGTAAAGAAAAAGTTTTATAAATTTATTTCGTATTTTACTTAATCTAATAAAATATTTATTAGATATTTCAAAAAAATAAATTATCAACAACAATTAATAAATTTTTGAGTAAATTTATTAACTTCTAAAAATTATTATATCTATTATTAAATATTATTTTTTTAATTAATATATAATTTAAGATAGAATGCAATTCCTATCTATTTTTTGTGGGCCTAATATTCAATATGAGATAATTAATATACTAATCAATTTTTTATTTATATTTAACAAATATAACATTAACTTCAATAAATATTTTAGTATTAAAAAGCAATCAGTTACTAATACTATCAATTAATTGTTTCAATTAATCTATTTCAAAAACCATTAATTGCTGATTTAATTAAAAAAAGTAGGATTCTATATATTCAAGAGATGCTTTTGATAATTTTATGTCATTCTCTTTAAAAAGATCAAACAAATCCTAAGATTATTATTTTAATATACATTCACATTGAGTTTTTTTCTAGGAGTTTAAAATTTAGATTAAAGTTAATTGCAAATCATTTCAAGATTATTAGCATTCAAATTAGTCTTAATTTCATCAAAAACTGTATTATTTGGTAATCGAAAATTATCTAATAATGTTTTCAAAATGCTCCTTATTCTTGAATTATTTTATGGTTTATCTATATTAATTTCTTCTTCTTAATCGAATAAATAGTTTGCTAAAGTACATGCTTATTCTTTATTTAAATTGAAAATTTATTATTAAAGGGAATCTTTAAGTGCATCTAATGTAGTTTCTTCTTAATTTTTAAATAGGTACTATTATAAGTAAAAAGTATATTACAATATCTAATTCATCAAAAGTAATTTTATTAATAATCATAGAAAATTTAATAATTTTGACAATTTAACAAAGATCTTGCTTATTGATTTTAGAATATTTAGATTTTCCAATGCCACTTAAAGATCTTTAAGAAGTAATTAATGAAAAATCTCCAGAACCTCTACCAACAATTTAATGTTATGAAAACATAGATGGTTTGACAATAGAACTAGATTTTTCATTCTTTTTAAGTTTAGCTTTTTATATCTATTCTTCTTACAAAGCTTTACTTAATGATTCACATCTTTCTTATAACAATTGCATTTCATCATCTTTTTCCATAATTCTACGATCATATTTTTTAATTTCCTATCTATGCCTATCTAATAATTATTCTATATAAGCTTCATCTTCTTATCTCTTTTAACTTAATTTATGAATATCTGAGAGTAGTTTTCTTTATATGAGATAAAAATAATACTTAATTTATTGATCTTATTTACTCTTTTAATTATGTTTAACTGCAAATAATAAATCTCTTTCTTTATATTATCTAATCTCTTTTAATAATTCATTAATGAGTTATTTTTATTATTAAATTTTGACTTATTATGTTACAATATGTTTTTTCAATTAATCATAATCCTTTAATTACTCTTCCAATACTTTTACAATTTCAACTAATTTAATATTATCTTATTCTAATTCATCAAGAATAGCAAATTATGGACCTAAAATATTTCGTTGATTCCCTAGTAGTTTTTCTTTTTGAAGTTCAATAATATTTTAAAGTTCAGATACTTTTTTTTAATAAATTGTAATCTCATCCAATTTCAATTTTTTTTTTAAAGTCTCTATTTCAATTTCTTTAGTTTACAATAATTTAAGTAAATGTTTGAATTTTTAATTGTTTCTTACTGTCTTTAATTAGATTTCATCATCTGACAACTGTTGATGAAAGCTTTCAAGATCTTTCTAGATATTAATATATACTTACTTAATAATAAATATTTTAAGACTTTAGTTATGTATTTTCTATTCTTAATTAATTAAGCTCTTATTTGATTTTTAATAATTAATCTTATTAATCTTCCTTATCATAATAAGAATTTCTTGATTCATGTTTAGACAAAAATCCAAATGAATTGATTAAATGTTGTCTAGGACGATGAGAATCATGACAAGATTAATTAATTGATCCTATTGATCGATTTTTACATGACTCAGGAAACATAAATAAATTTTATAAATTAATATTAATTATATGCTCAACATTTTTATTACTTATTCTTAAAAATTATATTTATCTATTATAGTTATTAAGGTAAATTTCTTTTTAAGTATAAGCCTAATATGTCATATAAAAAAATAATCAGAGACAATAAAAAAATAAAAATCATTTTTTTTTTTGAAGATCATGTTTGTTTTCTTATTTGATTTATATCCTCATATAATTTATAATCCTTATTTATGTTTTATTGAATATTAAAAGAACTCTAATATGGTAAGTTCTTACTTTTTTCTACTCTGATTCTAATTTATATAGAGATAATTTAAATAAACTAATTAAAATTAATAATAAATTATATATCGATAGATTTGACTTAACTTTATACAATTCTAACCTTTGGCTTCTAGTTTGGTCAGTTGAATTACATAAAATACAATTTTTATATAATTATTTCATCTATTTAGGATGATTATTTTAGACATAGAAAAGTTGAAGAAACTAAAAATATTTCATCTTAATATCCCTTATAAATATATATTAAACTATTTTCTTAATTTATTACTATTATTAATATACTACTTTAAATATGGGTAGTATCTGCAATTAAAGAATTACTTCGCCTTATAAAGAATTTGATTTAGAAGAAATTATATTTGGAAGAACATATATTTATGGTCCTCCCTCTATTATAAGACCATCACCTATTGAAATATTGAAATTTTCAGATGAGGATTTTAATTACCAATAAGAAAAGGAACAATGGTATTCCACTTAGATCCCTCAATCAGAGGATTAGGCATTACTATAAATTTCAGATAGAGATTTAAAACTCACTCAAGTAAAATTATCAGTAGAAGAAGTCCTCATACTAAAAGAATAACCTGAATCACCAGATTAGATTAGTTTTTCAAAGGATGATCAAAATAGTGAGATTAAGGACTCCTAATAAGATATTGCAAAACACAAACCAATTTTAAAACACAAAAATTAAAATACCTCAAATCCTTAGAGTCCTAAAAACTAACTCAAAGATTCTTAAACTTCAGGGTCTTAACGATCTATAAAAAAAGTCACATTTGATAAAAAATCAAAAGTTGTTTATAGTAGCTTTAGAAAAATCAAATATTGAGCCAACAAAATTTATGACCTTTATAATTTTTATACGATAATAATAATTTATTTTGTAATTAACTTAACATCTAATTTTATTTGTATAGTAAGGATTTATCTAATGTATTGAATTTATACATATTTATATATAATAAATTTTATAAGAGTTTTATTGCCTTAAAAAAGGGAATCTATTCACTAAAATAATAATTATTTAATGATTATCAATAGTTTGACGTCATTTTATATTAATTTTAATGAAGCTTTTTATTGTCATCTTTTTGATTGTTGCAACAAGTGCTATTTCCATTAATTCTAAATGTACAGCAGAAGTAACAAAACTCACTCCAAGATTTTCTTAATTATATGGAAATGTAAATGAAAAAAAGTTTGTTTCAAGTATTAAGGAATTAATTGGAATTTTAAAATCTTTAGTTGCTGTAAAAAAATCTTGTACTGGATCAGAAGGAGTTGATTTGTCTAATTTTAAATAAAAAATAGGAGTATGTTTAAAAGGTGGTTTTGAATTAGCTAGTAATGGTTATAAATCTTACAATGAATTTGAAGAGGATGGATTCTCAGATATTCTTGTTGATAGTTTAGTTGAAATGTCACATTTAGTGGAACCTGTAATAACAAATTGCTGGGGAGAAGAAGTTAAATCTGTCTTAGGATTTGTTTTACCTGATTAATGCATATCAGTTATTGACGATGTTGCAAAAGTCTCCTTATAAATTATAGAATAAAAAGAAAGACCATTGTTAGTGACTAAGGGATTAATTAATTTGAGAAAAATTTTCAAAGAATCCAAAAAGGCTTGTCCATTTGTTGAGACTTTAATTCCAAAGAAACAAAAGAATGATGATGATAATGAGGATAGTGATTTTTCTGATGATGATGATGATATGGAAGCATTATTTGAATTATTCTAATGATCATTATNTAGATCCCTCAATCAGAGGATTAGGCATTACTATAAATTTCAGATAGAGATTTAAAACTCACTCAAGTAAAATTATCAGTAGAAGAAGTCCTCATACTAAAAGAATAACCTGAATCACCAGATTAGATTAGTTTTTCAAAGGATGATCAAAATAGTGAGATTAAGGACTCCTAATAAGATATTGCAAAACACAAACCAATTTTAAAACACAAAAATTAAAATACCTCAAATCCTTAGAGTCCTAAAAACTAACTCAAAGATTCTTAAACTTCAGGGTCTTAACGATCTATAAAAAAAGTCACATTTGATAAAAAATCAAAAGTTGTTTATAGTAGCTTTAGAAAAATCAAATATTGAGCCAACAAAATTTATGACCTTTATAATTTTTATACGATAATAATAATTTATTTTGTAATTAACTTAACATCTAATTTTATTTGTATAGTAAGGATTTATCTAATGTATTGAATTTATACATATTTATATATAATAAATTTTATAAGAGTTTTATTGCCTTAAAAAAGGGAATCTATTCACTAAAATAATAATTATTTAATGATTATCAATAGTTTGACGTCATTTTATATTAATTTTAATGAAGCTTTTTATTGTCATCTTTTTGATTGTTGCAACAAGTGCTATTTCCATTAATTCTAAATGTACAGCAGAAGTAACAAAACTCACTCCAAGATTTTCTTAATTATATGGAAATGTAAATGAAAAAAAGTTTGTTTCAAGTATTAAGGAATTAATTGGAATTTTAAAATCTTTAGTTGCTGTAAAAAAATCTTGTACTGGATCAGAAGGAGTTGATTTGTCTAATTTTAAATAAAAAATAGGAGTATGTTTAAAAGGTGGTTTTGAATTAGCTAGTAATGGTTATAAATCTTACAATGAATTTGAAGAGGATGGATTCTCAGATATTCTTGTTGATAGTTTAGTTGAAATGTCACATTTAGTGGAACCTGTAATAACAAATTGCTGGGGAGAAGAAGTTAAATCTGTCTTAGGATTTGTTTTACCTGATTAATGCATATCAGTTATTGACGATGTTGCAAAAGTCTCCTTATAAATTATAGAATAAAAAGAAAGACCATTGTTAGTGACTAAGGGATTAATTAATTTGAGAAAAATTTTCAAAGAATCCAAAAAGGCTTGTCCATTTGTTGAGACTTTAATTCCAAAGAAACAAAAGAATGATGATGATAATGAGGATAGTGATTTTTCTGATGATGATGATGATATGGAAGCATTATTTGAATTATTCTAATGATCATTATAAAAGGATAATAATTTATTTAATTTATTGTTAATAACAATTTAACGATTGACATTATTGAAGATATAAGTTTTATCTTAATTATTATTCAAATAAATTTATTTTGAATTATGAGTTCTCTCTTTGTTAAGTGCATGGTTTGCCAACAAAGACCAGCTACTATAAAGTGTAATTAATGTTAATTGGGCTAAACTTATCGATTGTGTTATAGTTGTGATTCTTAGGTACACAATAAAAACAATCCCTCAGAAGATCAACATAAAACTGAGATTATCCCATATTAAGGTAAAACTATCTTTATTATTATAAGAAATGTATCAAAAGGCAGGATCTGCCTCAGCTTTGAAAGATTCCTCTTTAAAAGTAACTATATATTTTTGAATTTTTGTAGTCTAAACCTGAATAGTAATAACAAAAACAATAACCACAAGGTATAGCAAAACCTCAATCCTCGGCTTCATCTAAACAATTCTCGAACAACTTTAAATCAATCAAGCCTGATGTACCTTAAAAAGAAGAAATTTTGAATAATTAAAAACCTGTTAAAGAACCTGTTTAATTGGTTTAATAGTAATCACTACCTAATAAGTTTACTAATAATTATATTTATCCTTAATCTTAATCAAAACAAAAAGTAGAACCTAAATAAGAAGAGATCCAAAGACAAAATAATTCTGCATCTTATATGAGCAATAATTAAAATAATAAATTAAAAGAATAGATCTAAGAAGAATAAGATTAAAATAATGAACTTAGAAGAGAGATACAATAAACTAAAGACTAAATAAAAAACATTAATAGTGATATAGATAAGAAAATGTATTATATTGAGAATATTATAGATAACAAAATTCAAGAGATTTTGAAAAGAAAATAAATGATTTAAAGAAAGAAAGTACAGATGAAAAGAAAAAAATAACTAATTTGACTGATGAAGTTAAGAAATTAACTGAATAAGTTAAAAGTGTAGATTAATAAACTTAAAAAAAATTGGATCTTTAAAAAAAATAATATGAAAAATAGATTAAAGATATGGAATAAGTAATAAATGAAAAATAATAATAAATTGATGAAATTGCTGAAGAATTTTAAAATTATAATTTAGAGGAGATTTAAGCTAAAATGGAAGAAATGGCAAATGAAATAGATGAAAAGGATTAAATCATAGAAGAATTGAAAAATTAACTTGAATAAGGAGGAGGTTTAGAAGGAGGTGAAAAAAGAGAAGATAATGATGAATTAATTTAATAACTTGAATAAAAGGATGAAGAAATTAAGAAGTTAGAAGAATTAATAGAAAATTTTAAATAATTATATTAATAGATGTAAGATGAAAAGTAAGCAATGATGGAAGAGAATGAGAAATTATAAACAGAAAATAATCAATTTAGAGAATTGTTTAGTGTATATTTTTTAAATTAAATTTATTAGTAAAATCTTCATCTGTTTGGAATTGATCCAAATTAATTGGAAGAGGAAGATGGAGAAGGTGAATAAGAAGGAGAATAATATGAGTAGGATGAAGAAGGTAATTTTATTATTTATTCTAGAGAATTGATTATAATAATTCCTATATCATTAATCTAATATTTAAATAATTATTTAATTTTTAAAAGGTTTGTTTTTGATATAATACAGCATTCTTATTTAAAAATCAGAATCCAATAGTATTATAAATCAATAATAGTTATTTTTAAGATTTTATATTTTTTAATTAATAAGAATATATAATATTATTTTTTTGACAAATAAAATTATATTGATGAATTCCTCTTCAATTTAAAATGTTAATGGATTAGATAGATTATAGATGTGCAATAGTAAAGATTTATAGAATCAATTTGAAGAGGGCGGTATTTTTAATTTTAATTTCAAGAAAAAGTAATACTCTCTTCAAACATAATCAAAGTGAACTAAAATAATAAGAAATAGGAAAGAATATTCTTATTAACAAATAGATTTGTATATAATATAAAATCGGATAGTAAAATATTATAATTTTTTGGTAACAACATTATTTAATCATGAGGTAAGTCAATTAAAATTCAAAGGAAAATACGTATTCAATTGATATCTGCAATTAGTGTTAGTAATATTGGTACAGAATTTGTATTACATATTCCATAAGAATATGATTATAGATTTTAATCAAGCGATTTGTAAATACTTTTTTAATAAATTAGTCGAAAAACAATTCTTGAAACATTAATAATAGTCTATAGTTCATTAACAATATCAAAAATGCCATTTTTCTTTAAAGATGATTTCACATTAATATAATATTGTACAACAGAAAAAGATGTTAAAAAAGGGATCAAAAGATATCCTATAGAAAAACCAATTGTAATATATAAAATATATTTAGGAACTTGATGTTGTTGAATTTCAAGATTATTAAAAGAATAAACCTTTACCATAACAATTAATTTATAAAAAACCTGGATTGTAAAAATAATATAGTACTTCACTTATTTCTATTGAACAATTTGATTTAATTAAAGTACTTGGTAGAGGAGCATTTGGGAAAGTATTTTTTAATTTAATCATAGGTTATGATGTGTGAGAAAAAAGATACAAAAGAATTATTTGCAATTAAATCATTAAGAAAAGAACACATAATGGATAAGAATTAAGTTGAACATACAAAGGCAGAAAGAAAATTATTAGAGGAAATTGAACATCCATTTTTAATATCATTGGAATATGCATTTTAAACATAAGAGAAATTATTTTTTGTTATGAAATTTATGAGGTATTATTATGATATTATTTCAATAATAGAGGAGGTGAATTGTTTAAACATTTAAGAGATAAAAAAAGATTTCCAGAAGCAACTGCTTAATTTTATGCTGCATCAATTTTATTAGGAATAGAACATTTACATTCCATTTCAGTTATTTATAGAGATTTAAAACCTGAAAATATATTAATGGATGAATTTGGATATATTAAAATGAGTGATTATGGATTAGCTAAATTTTTAAAATAAGGTGAAAAAACATATTCTTTTGTTGGAACACCAGAATATTTGGCTCCAGAAATTATTAAATAAAATGGACATAGTTTTGAAGTAGATTGGTGGTCTTTTGGAATTTTAATGTATAATATAACAATAATTTAGTTATGAAATGTTAGTTGGAAGACCTCCATTTTTTTCATAAAGTTAATCTTAATTATTTAGAGCAATTATAGAATCAGATATAGTATTTCCATAATAATTAAGTTTAAGTAACCATGCTAAAGATCTAATAACTAAAGTATAGATATAATTATTATGTTGATAGCTTTTAAAAAAGAATCCATTTGAAAGATTGGGACATAATGGAGGTGGTGTATCTATTAAAATGCATCCTTGGTTTAAAGATTATAAATTTTAAGATTTATTAGAAAAGAAAATATAACCTCCAATAATCCCTAAATTATATGATAAATTAGATGTATAAAATTTTGATTTAGAATTTACAAGAGAGGGTAATTAAATTGTATATAATATTATTTAGAAGCCATGAATTCAGTAGCAAATATGGATCCAAAATTAGTTGAGAAATTTAAAGAAGATTTTGGAGGAGTGACTTATGTTCCAAATAATGGTTTAAATTGATTTTATAAATTTGTGATATTAATATCAATTATTCTCATTATATCCTCAAGTTAGTGAAGCAAATTTAATTATTACTTAATCTAATTTAATTTTATTAACTTAAATCTATAAATAAATCTCTATTTGATTCTTGAGTTTAATTTATTTTCTTTTTTTGACACATTTAACTAATCTACTTTAAATATTTATATTTATTGGTAATAATCTTAAATTATTAATATAAATCAATAATAAGACTTGTTGATAACATAATGGTATAAATTCCAACATGAATATAAGATAGTTTTTCTATAGTATCTTAGTCTGTTATTTTAAATTAATCTTGTGCATAATAAAATAAGATTAAAGATAATGAAAGACTCAATCCAACTTCTTAAGTAATACCTTTAATAGTTTCTAAAATATTCATATAAGGATTAAGAGAGATTAAAATAAGTGATGATAAAATTTATATAGATATTAAAAGTGAGATCTGATATATTGCAGTATCGAAAAATAATAATAAAGCACCCATAAACATAATTTTTCTTAAAGGTTAGAGAAATTAAATTTAACGATTTATTTATTTATTTGATTTTATGCCTTCATATAAAGATCCAAAATTTTATAAATAATTCTTTGAACTAATTTAATAAGAGAATGCCTTTAGAGAAGTTGAAAGTATAAATAGAATACTAAATTAAAATAGGAGTAATGTCATAGCAATAATAAATGAAATTTAATCTATAAGGTTTGGACTTTAATTCCATAACCAACAATATGCTGAAGTGAATATGGAAAAATTCAAATCATATAAACTTGATAAATAGATTCTTAATATTATAGTATAGTAAAAACTTGAGCAATACTTTAAACTTATAAATTAAATGAATGATATTACTTTGTAACCCAAAAATTTAAGACTGTTAACTTTTTGTTTTCTATTAATATTTTGGAATTTTTTAATTAACAATCTGTGAATAATAAATAGATTAAATTTAGAAATGAATAATAAAATTAAAGGTGTAAACCATAAAACTAAGATAGAACTTAAATTAATGACTAAGTTATATTCAACTTCTCTTTCTACAATTAAAGGATAATCCTTATTTTATTGATAATCTAAATTATTTATGATATCAATTTTGAAAAAGTCATTTGTAAATTCAAATCTTGCAAATTAAAATATATCCAAAAATTAATTATGCATATAAGGAAAGTTAACATTAATATAAGTAATATAAGATAGTATTTATAAATTATCTAATACATTCCAATAAAATTCCAAACTTCCCATCAATAATCCTATAACAGCAATACCACCTAAGATAAATAATACAGTAGATCCAAATTACTTTGATGCTTTAGTTGTACTTAAGGTTTGTGTGCTTAATTATTTATATTTCAATAAATCAGCTTATAAAATTGTTGATTTTAGAGAATATTAATCAATTGCATCATAGATGATATAATTTGAAAAGTTAATTTGATATTATATAAAATCAATACTTTTATGCAAGATTATTTCAATTGAAATAGATTCTAAATGACCATCTTAATTATAATGAGTAGTTGAATTAATATCATAATCTATATGATCAATATAATTAACAATTTATTATTTCCATAATTAGATTATAGATGAATTAAATAAGATCATAGGTTTACTAAATTAAATTAATCCAAATCTAGAAGATTAATAAAAATCTTTAACTCTTTTAAATTCTAAAGTAGCAATAGATAAATTTAATTTTTAACAAACGCTTAAAGTATTAATTTATTATTGACAACCCCATTCTTATTCAATTTAACATATATTAGAACATCCATCATAATTGAGAGTGTTACCATCATCACATTTCTCATCATTTTTTCTAATTCCATCTCCACATAAAGAAGCACATTGAAGTCCATTTGTATACAAACCTATTGTTTCTTCACAAAAAGCACATTTTTATGGAAAACCATAATCAATACCTTTAATACAAGATATACAATCTTTCTAAAATGGTCCTGAACACTCTTTACAATGTTTACTATAAGAATAGAAATAGAATATTACTCGCATTGACTGCAATCAAATGATTAAGTCATATAATAACCAGTATGACATTGAAGACATCTACTAGAATTACACACTTTGCATTATTATGTACATTTAGTACATATAGAAATGAAAATAGAATTATGAATTTGTAAATTTGGAATTAATTAACAATAATGATTCTATTCTAATTTACAATCTTATGAACATCCATCTCTATTGTTTGTATTTCCATCGTCACATTCTTCAAATCTTTATTTAATTCCATTTCCACATATTTTAGGTTAACAGATTTCTATATCAATAGAGCAGATTAAACAATTATCATCTTAATAATAATAATTTGATTAACACTCACATTTATTGTTTTATAATTATAAAAACTTATCATTATCACAAGTTAAACAATGATATTCTTCAGATCCATTACAAGTTAAACATGTTTTATGACATTTAATACATCCATTAGAAATATCATAATAATATCCATCTAAACAATCACAATTAGGTGGTATTGTAGAATATAATTTACATGTTAAACAATTCTCTGATGAATTTTCACATAATCTACATCTTGAATTACATTATTAACATAATAAATCTTCATCTTCAAAATAACCTATATTGCATTTACAAAAAGGAGGATCTATTCTATTTAATGAACACTTTAAACAATTAATTGAATCATGTTCACAAGTGGAACATATAGAATTGCAATTCAAACATGGAGAAGTTAAATCAATTTCATATGTTCCTTCTGGACATATACATAATTGAGGTAATACTCTATTATATTTGCATTGTACACAATTATCTTAATGATATTTACATTCCAAACACTATAATGAACATTAATTACAATCTGAATATCCATAATAATTAAAATATCCAGTTTAACATATGCATTAATTATTAATTAAATTCATTTGATTAGAACAATCTAAACATTCTATATCAGATTTACAAAGATGACAATTATTTGTACATGGAACACATTTAGTATCCAATTCATAAAAACCAGAAGCACATATACAATCAGGTGGTTTATAATAATTATCAATACATAAGATACAATTTGTAGATGTAAATTCACATTATTTACATTTATAATGACATGCTATTGAATATATATTATTAAAGTACGTAAACATTTATCAGTTTCTAAGTGCATATAATATCCTTAATAACATTAACAAACAGATCTATTAGCAAAATTCTTGAGTGGACAAATACATTTTCCATCATAAAGTACAAAATTTGATTAACACTGAACACATCTATCAGCTGATAAACAATATAAACAAGTATCTGGACATTTAAGACAAGTTTATCCACTTATATAATATCCAATTAGACAATTACAATTATCATTAATATCTCTATTATCTGAACAATTTGTACAATATGGTATATTGAATACATCTGGAATACAAGTACTACATTAAGATGGACATTCTACATAAATGATATTAATACATAAACAATTCTTTTAAGATAATTCATAATAACCTTATTGACAAGGACACTCTAATTAAGGATCATTAATTCTATTTGTTTCATTATTATTACTATGACAAGTTTAACATAAATAAATAAGTCCATTAAATTGACAATCAGAACAACCATAACCACAATTTATTAGATAACAATTATCATCACCTAAATCTACATAATTATTTGCTATATCACAAATACAATTTTTAGATTAGTTTATTCTATTTTAACTAAAAAAACAATCTAGACAATCAAAATTTGATCCTCCATCACAATTATTACATTTAGTATCACAAGGTTAACAATTAAAATTAGAATCAAAATAAAATTATTAGTCACATTCACATTAAAATATGGATTTACTATCTAAAGATATTTAGTAATTGTTTTAAATAGCATTATCTCTACATTCTATACATTCATTGATTAATGAACCTGAACAATTTTTACAATTTCCATGACATTAATCACATTATGAACCAAAATAACCATCTTTACAAATATCACATATAGATAAGATTTAACAAGAAATACAATTATTCATACATTAATTACATGAACCATTAACAATGAAATAACCATTTTCACAATTTAAACAACCTGTAATATCACATTATTAACATTTATCTATTTATTCAGAACATTCTAATGTATTATAATATTTTAAATACATATACAAATAGTATTTGATGAATCAAGATAATATTCTCCTAATACACAAATACAATCACCATTTAAATTGATTTAAAAATTTGTTATACATCTTATACATATTCCATTTAAATCACATGCTTCACAATTTATAGATAAACAATTTTAATTACATTATGTCCCTATAAATAACTTATCTACACATTCTGAACAATTAGAATATTCATCACATTTCATACAATTCATAGGACAAACTAAATAAAATAATACAATTATTATATATTACCTTAACAAATACCTGAATTGTCAAGGTAAAATTCATCAGCACATTAACATTAATTGTTTATCAAAACATTTGAAATATGACAACATTTATTATTAGTTTATAATATATATCCAAATGTACATGATAAACAATTTGTACTTGAATATACACAAGTTAAACAATTAGTTTCACAAAGTAAACAATCATTAAAGTATAAATAATATCCATCATTACAATAACATGTATTATCAATTAATAAGGTTTTATTAGAATTACATGTAGAACATTCATAAGCTTGTATTCCAAAACATGTTTAACATTATTCATGACATTCTATTTATAATTAAATTAATAAAACTTTAACATGAATTTAATTGACCATTATAAATTAAAACATAACCTATTTAACAAACACATGTATTCATTATTAATATTTTATCTTCTTTGCAACTCAAACATTAATTATATGTAACACAACTATTACAAATATTATCACATTCTAAAATTATTATATTATATAATATACTTTAACATTACTATATTCCTACTTATGAATAATAACCTATT